CTCACATTGACACTGAAGCCCAAGGGCTTCTGGGTGAGGATCTGATTGCAGGATTGATACTGAAATGTTTAAGCTGAGAAACTCAATCAGAGGAGATGTACCTATTTCACACGGTACAGGATGAGAGTCAGGAAACCTGGTTTTCTCTTCCCAGCTTTGCTACTGACCTCCTTACATGAGCCACTTTGTCGCTCCATGATTTCCCTTTTGTACTTGGTCTGTCCTGTGGATGTGGCATTAAAGTTTTTGATTTGCATGTGCTGTGCCTAACTCAATAGGACTGCAATCTAGCATGTAATATGTAGCTGCGATTATATTACAGATAACTCCAATAACTGTACCTGATCTCATGGAAGTCCATTTAATTTTGATGGATTATTTTCCTTAGTTTCTTCATAAACAGCTACATTTAAAACAAACAAACAAACAAACTTTTTTTTCTTTTTTAAATGTCCCTGTGGGGAAAAAACCTGGCATCTTGCCCTATACCCATTTTTCTGATGTTCGCTGCCTGACCCTCGTTTTTCTGGGCACCAAAAGAAAGTTTTCATCAAGCAACTCTTGGTGCCCGTGTATAATTTCCCCCATTGCAATATAATGGATTTCAGTCTGATAGGCTAGGGCTCCTTCCTGAGCAGTTTTCCCCTCTTCAGGCACAGGGCACCTCAGTGCTCTTTGACACCATCTTTGCAAAGGGCAATCATTCTTGCCCAGAGATGCCACCTGTAATTTAAAAGACTAATAGTCAATATGATGAAGTTAAAATAAAACAAAAGGGATAATTGAACACTGGTGGCATTTAATAACAACTAGGTTTGGTGACACTTGCCTTGAAGGTTTTTGATTTATGACATGTGAGGGATGCCTTTGAAATTTTGTGATGAATAGCTAAAATAATTACATGTATATAAAGGTCTGCACTTTCTCAGACATAATAGACAAATTGCTTTTATTTTATTGTTTTGTTGCAGGAACTAAATTAAATTTAACAGTTTAGCACAATTTGTCAGAAATGACTCATCAAAGAAAAATAAGGGCTTTGGGATGTCTCTCTAGACCGGTGCTCCTACTTTTCTTCAGCTGGAGTACATTGATGTCCTGCTAACGTTAGCATGCCTGAAAAAATGCATATCTGAGTAAAACTCCTAGTTTGCATTCTGCACTTTCAAGGCCATCGTCTGAGGTGGTTTTGTGCCCCATCTAGGTTTTTGTCGCAATGGATAGGAATCACCTTCCCTTTTCCATTTTGGACATAGTTTTCCTTATGAATGTCTCACCACTTCCTGAATTTAGCTTGGCAGAAAATTGTCGCTTTTTGAAACCATACAGTAACGGCAACAGCAAACTATACTTTATAAATAGATCTGCAACAAAAAACTTTCCCTATGCTATCTGAAATCAATTGGGAGTGATATGCCTTCTGCTTTAATGACACATGGGGAGCTCTGCTGAGGACCAAGAATTTGGGCCAGGTTTCATTTGTTTGAGTGATCCCAGAGGTAAGTTATTGTTTCTGGCTTTGATTTGGAAATCTCGGTGGCTTTGGCTGACTGTGTTTTAACCTCTCTGTTCAATGCAGATCTTGAACAGGAATCTGAAGGGCATGGCAAGGAGAGACATATTGGTCCCTAAGTAGAAGTCACAGGTCAAATGCTCTTGGAGTTGCTCCGGGGGTCTGTGATTAAACTGCCATCTTCAATTCATCCTTATCCCTCCATTTTCTTCTATGGGAATAATACTTAACTGCCTCCCCATACTGCTGTGAAGCTTAATTGCCTGAGGTGTGTGAAATGCTTTGAGATCATTAGATGAAATAAGCTGTTTAGGTGCAAAGTGTCTGTGGTATCATTTGGCCTTTCTTGCATCTGTGTTGACACCAGTGATCAAGGAAATGAAAAAGGCCTGTGTGCAACCAAGCAGCTGCCCAAGATCTAGGCAGGTCAGAGATCTGGCAGGGAGCTATTGATTTGCTGTTATTCAGGAAAGTGAGTTTCCACAAAGACAAAAAGGTGTGCTGGGTGTTGCATAAAAAAGTCGGTCAAAATGTCCACATCACAAGCACAATATTCTAGTTGGTTTGTTTTGCTTGCAGCAAGCAAGACATCTCCGGTAAAGACAGGATGCTATACTTGTTGGGCCCCAGCTCAAGTCTGGGATCGTGCCCGGTATGCAACGGCCATTAAAGATACCGGGGTGAAAGTACAAAGAAGGTTTATTGCTAGCAATAAAAGGTGCAAGCGGAATAATTCACGTAACAAGCACACCAA